GACCTCAACCCACATCCCGAACACACAGTATTCCCACTTCCTGCACAACATGCACGGTAAAACACGAGCCATCAAGACTCTTTGCACCTATTACAATCTTTTATGAAATGCCCATATCAATTTTATTTTGGATACAAGTAAAATAAATTAATAAAACAGGATATTGGGACTGTATACGAGAATGCGTAAGCAGCATTACAATCTTCGGAAGGAAATCAAATCTTTTTATCAAGAAAGACCAAGGTGACCTCGACCCCCACATCCCGAACACATAGTATTCCCAGTTCCCCCGCAACCTGCATGGTAAAACATGAGACGTCAAGATTCTTGCCACCACATTAAAATATTTTTATGAAACCCGATATTGGATAAACGAAATGATGAAATCAATTAATAAAACAGGATAGTAGAGCTGTATGCAGGAATACTGTAACAATCTCCAGAAAGAAAGCATAATGAAAGTTAAAAAAGATTTAGAAGGATACCAAAGAAACCTTTAAAGTACAACACTAACGGGTTTCCAGTATAGAATAGGCAGCTGAACTTCTTATGGTTGAACTTCGACATCAAGTAATCAATATTGGGCGATTAATAAGGTGCCATTCGGTAGCCCCATCTTCTTGTATTTTTGCTTCTAAAACTTTGAAAATACACATGAACTACGTCTTCTTTGCTTGGTTTTTGTAGCTACTTGCTAGTCTTATATAAAAACAAGGATAAAAGCAAACACAAAAGAGATGTTTTGCATGTCGTTTTGTAATGTGTCAGGTAATTTATCAATAAATTGGAATACAAAATTGATATTATTTTATTAACTTGTCGGTAATCCGTCGTCATTTTGGAATTTAGCCCCTGTTTGGTACCCATTAAAATTTTCATTTCCATTATTTTACTCATTTTCAACCACACATTCTTCATTAAAATAATATTTTCCATCACATCAATAACTTTTCCTTCTTTTTCAACCACACATTCTCCATCAATCTACTATTTCAGAATTCATTCTTCCAAAATAATGTGGCTCAAACACACTTTTAGGGTTAAAATCCTATCTCCCTGCACTGGCGGACCCACATGGGGTCATGTGGGGTCAAATGACCCCACAATTTTTTTTTTTTTTTTTAGTTTTCCTCTTTGAATTTTTTTTTTACCTAAATATTTTTGAATTTTCATTTTTGACCCACAAAAAAATGGTC